AAAATAAAATAAATACATAAATAAATAAAAACCCAACCAGATGGAAGCCCTCGGCAGGGAAGACCAGACGGCCGAAGGTTAGGGGAAAAGGGAAAGAAACCGGCGGACGACGCGAGCGGTATCGAGGAGCACCGCCTTCTGCATTTAAACCTGGAGCGTTCCGCCACAGAGTTCCAGTCGCCTCAGATGACCCGAGAGGCTGACTGGGATTAACCCGTTTGCAGAAACGACTACAGGTGTAATTTCGGTCGACAGCCCACCCCACATGTTGGTCACCTCGTTAACCAGGCCCAGATATTTTGTTCGCTTATCTATTTCGACTTTCACGAAGTCCTCGTCATACGGAAAGGTAATGTCGACCAAAAATATCCTTGACTGTGCCCGGTCCATCAGCACAATATCAGGCTTATTCGCAAGAATAGTCCTGTCTGTGATGATGGCCCTGTCCCAATAGAGCCTGGCGCGATCATTTTCGAGCACGGCTTCCGGCAAGTACTTGTAATACGGCAATTTCCGATCCACGAGACTGTATTTCAGAGCGAGCTCCTGGTGAATAATTCTGACTACTAGCTATTATTTATTCTGTGCTACTAGGTTGTGCCTGTGCAAGTACTCAGAGTTAGAAAGCGCCGAACAACCGGAGATCACATGCCTAAGTGATTCACCGGGATGGCGACAAGCTCGATAGAGGTCGACGGTGCCATCTCTTAGGATGTATCTCCGATAGTTGTTGGTCTTAATAACTTGCTCCTGTATCACACGTACAAAACCCTTTGTTTCCCTAAAGAAGTCACAAAAACGTAGCCAACGGAGGTAGGCAACTGTGTCTACGAAGGGCTCATGTAGAGCTTTGTAGAACCTCCCGTGGAGCTCCTCCTCCTTCCATACGGTCTCCCGGTCGGAAATGCTCTGTACTGCCGGGTCTTGCCATTGCTCGTTAGCTAAGGATAGAGGGGTAAGTCCTTTATCACAAGAAATGACATCTCTATAGAATGGATAATCCGATCTCGTCAGAAAGTAATTACGGAGGCTGCACACTTCGCGATTATGCATGGTAAGCGCGCTTAAAAAGCCACGCCCACCATATTTCCGAGGGAAGTACAGCCTCATAATCGAAGATCTCGGGTGATACATCCTATGGAACGTCATAGTAGTGCGGACTTTTCTATCCAGGGCGTTAAGTTCAGTTTGAGTCCACTATGCCTATATGCCTATATATGCCAAAGGTATACATGAGTACAAGCATGACCTAATCGTTATATGTGTGTGTCTTATTCATACCGGACAAAAGGCTGTTAAGCACTTTGGTCAAGTGTGCATAAAACACGTCGCAAACTGACTGTTTCATACCAGCCTCATCGATACCGATGTTCTGTGACATACCCAGGTATCGGTATGTTTCAGGCTCGAAAAGGGTCCTTAAGTTGCATAGATAAGTTTATGCCCTCAGAGTTAGCAACCCTTCCCCTTTCAGCATGGAGGACCGCACACTTATCCGTTCCGAGCTCCAGGAGCGACTGGAGACGAATAACTGGAGTTTATCTATGTAGAAAATTTGGGTCACTACTTTACCTCCTCTCCGAAGATGAAATCCCCTCACGGTGCCCTCCAGTAAAGTACTGAGTAGGTTCAAAGAGAGGCAAAACCAGATTGGACTCAAACAGTTATTATTATTATTATTAAAATAAATTTCAGTTGGGTTGACGAGTTTTTTTGTCGATAATATAATATTTATCGACTTTTTTTGTACCTATATCTGTTTACACCCGTGAAAGCCACTTACTACCAATAATTATCAAATATAACTTACAGGTTTTTAACTGGCTATACTAAAACTGTGACTAAAAATAATAAAACTTGTAAACTAGTATCCGAAGCAAATTGATTATGACGTCATTTGGAGGTGAAATATGTGTCAATTAATTTCATGCATTTTGATAAGATGGATGTCATTCCGAGTTTATGCTCATAATTTTAATGAGCCTAATTTTAAGCTTGAACTAAATAAACAAAATTTCAACAAACAATGAAGAAAACAAGTTTATGATGGGTTTTATCGCGTTTTGTCAACTTATTTTTATATTTCTGATGTTTTGAGTACTTTACAGCACACATGGTTACGGACAAAATGTCGTGTTCATCATCCTAACGTTATAGTAAACCACGGTTACCTTGAGCTTTTATACATATTCACTAATTATAACAATATTCACTATTAAACTTATTATTGTAAAATATAAGAAATAATTTCATTTAAATTTTTTAAGGGCAGCCGTGATAGTTAAAGGGATACGAGATCGCTATAAAATTTCGTGGGGAATGGAAGTAAAGCTAGTTTTATTCCTACTAACACTAACGAAATTGTCAACTATAATTTTAAGTACTGATTTATTACTTATTCTATATTGAAGAAAAACTAATACTTTCTCCGCACGGATCAAGTATTTTTATGACATATAAATAATTGTTCCGGGTTTGGATGTTTGTCCTATCTCCGCTGAATGTTTGAAAAATAAAATGTTTCAAAGAAGTTTGCCAACACGAACTGAAGCAGTGCGGCAGATTAATATATATCCTTTTTTAGAAACATGAGCGACGTTTACATGATCGGCATTGACTACTGAAAATCCCTTAGTTCGTTAGTAATTGTTCATCTATTATATGTTCATCTATTTAAAATTTTAGGTGTAACTGGTAACCAAAGAGGGCATCCAAGACTTTTTCTGCTTCCAAGGCGGCCTTACTTTGGAACGAGGTGAAATACCTATTTAGCAGACCGAAATTAACGAACCGGAATAGATAAATATAAAGTTAATCTTTTTTTCTGAAATATTAGTTACATTTTAAATTAATTACATTGAAATGAATAAACCAAACTATAAATATTCCTAAAAGTCTACTTCTAGGAATATCTATAGTTTATTAAAAAGAGACTTAATATACGCAAGAAATCCAACCACGTTGGTTATAACACTAGAAACTAAAAACTTTAATTTAAATTGCAACTTTTCCCTTATGGTGACATTGTGTAACAAACAACTTCACCACAGTCCTAACAAGCGACATCTAGTGAGCGGGAAGTTATTAGCCCTCCTTGACTTTATGCGAAGCTACCGAGTGTCAGGCTACTATAGGTTGGGTAGGGAGTAGCATTGCAGTGAGCGCCAAAAAGGACCTATATAAGGGATTATGTCACTACCTACAAGATGGCAACTAGTTATCAACAAAACAATAACAATAAAAGAAATATATTGGTTAGCAACTCTAGAAGATATTCATGTTTCGTATTAAATTCATGATTTATTTTTGATAAAAATGAGTTGGACTTTGATCATGTACATAATGATTTCTTATATTAATAGGAACACAACACATTAAAACTACTTTTACGTATTTTGTCGCGTTTAATTTATATGATTTTTAATTCTGACGTGACTGACGTCCCGATGTCAGTATTAAGGGGAAATATAATGTCAAATGGCTTAGCAAGATCCTTCGTTATGCCGAAAATATTGCAGCATTAATTTTGAAATAAATATATGGTAAAGTTGAGGATTAATGTTAATGATTATGTTAGACGAAAACACGATTTCGTTAAATTTTCTCGATAGAAAAAAAATCCAAAGTTACCTCCAAAATAAACAATAAACCGCTGTTATTCATAAAATACTTTAAATAAGATCATGAAACTTTGCATACTAACTGAACTAACTATAAAGCAGTGCTTATGTTATTTACTTTTTTTAAAATACCATTATTTTCACTGTAAAAAGAAATTACCTAAACTATCGGCGTCTTGAGCTTGATTCCAGTCGCCCCGTTAGTATCGCTTAGGCTTTTGAAGGGAGAAGTTGTGTCGCTTACGATCAGAATATACATTACGCAACAGTACGACGTAAAATTAAAATGGGAAATAACCGTGATAAAAATAAGAAGCGGCTGGCTTGGCGTTAAGAAACAGACATAAATATGATAAACCTAATGAAATAAGTGTCTAACGACCTTTCTACTTACAGTATTAGTGATCAAACATATCGGTACATAGCACACGACGCGCGGGGAAGTGGGGGCGAAATTAGAATTTGAGCTGACTTACTCTATCCTCTTAAGTATTAACCCGTAGTACGTAGCCTTTAGTCTATCGAAAAGTAGTAACAACAAGTATTTTTTTAGGTTCAATTTTCTACAAAATAACATTTTTTGTAGAATGTTTAATTTGCTACAAAATGATCTAACGCATTATTTTGAAGCAAAAAAAAATCCTATGTTATTCTTATGGGTAATCACACAATGCGGAGCATATTAATATTAAAATTAAGCGCTCATAATATTTTCACTGGATCATTTTTATATCTAAACGAAACTTTTAAGCCTGTTACTGAGAAGAAAAATCGTTGTTTTTTTTAATCACTTATAATAAATATTTATACATCGTATTGATATTTTGAGAAAATATTGGTATTGTTTAGAGAAATGTTTTCTAATAAATATTGGCGTTTAATAAATTTCTTGTTTTTACTAGTCAGCTTATATTATTGGGTACGCTAAATTTTAATGGTTTATCTGAATTCCAGCGGTTTTAATTAGTGGTGACAATGGTGTTGCTATTGAAACATATCGTATTTGATACCTACATTTACTTACCGAGTTTAACATATTAATTGCGCTTCGAACACACCGGCACTTCAAAGAAGACATTCACACATGTAAACACACACAACACACGCAGTCGTACACGCACGCACACGCACGCACGTGCATACACACACACACGCGCACGCACACACACACACACACACACACACACACACACACACACACACACACACACACACGCACGCACGCACGCACGCACGCACGCAACGCACGCACAACAAATAAATATTTTTATTTTCATTTTTTCATTTTATATTTTCGAATTAATAAATGTCGTCAAAAATATCTTTATATCGATTCCTTTATATATGTTCTTCAAACCTAGTGGGCGAGGCGAAATATACCTGTGGCAGGGGTGGCGGCAGCGCGGCGGCGGCGGCGGCGTGCCTGTAGCCACGCCGGCGCCAGCGGGCACAGCAGGCTGCCGCCCGACTCGCTCGAGCTCGAGCTGCTCGACGCACCGCCCGCCGCGCCGCTCGTCACGCCGCTCGCCATAACACCGGCCCTGCCGCCTGTCGTGTTACCGCATCGCGGCAGCCTCTCGGCTGCGTGCTGTGAACTCACCGATCTGCGTCGGGAGAACGTGCCTCTCACACCACCTTCGTGACAATGAAACTAATTTTTAATTCGAAACAATTTATTAACATTTGGTTCGATACAAAAATAAATATTAAATGGACTTTCATTTAATATAATTAATAATATAATGAAAAGTGCTCTATATCGAACATTGAGATGTTCGAGGTGCAATGTTATGATAACATATCAGTCAAATTGATGTTTTAGTCTTATCATTATATAGGTTTATTGTGCGCCTGGATTCTACTCTACGGGTATAGTAGAAGCGGTGCGATGAGCGATCAGCGATGGTACACACGTGCGTGTGGAAGTACCTTCAGTAACGTGCTGACGCAGGGCCGGTTCGGGCTCGTTGCATTGCCGCGGTAACCGAGCATGTTGCCTCTGTTGTTGATAGTGATGCTCAGGCTGTGGCTTCTGGCTATGGGAGTATATTTTTTGTTGATGTTTATACCTTTGTTGTGGCGATTGTTGATTTGAAATACTTTTTTTTTGAAGCAAAGGTGTTTGTGTTGACATTGTCAAGTTTCTAATGGGGCTTGTAGCGGCAGACTTATGCAGCGGAGAAGTCATTACCGTACAACTTGTTTGTGTTAAGACACTATGGTATACATCTTTATTAGGCATGGGAGATGTTCCTGCACTCTTCATTTCTTTAACTTTCTTAACCACTTCTCGATCGGGATTTAACTTCGAGAACTTGCCACCAATGTTGGAGTTAATAGTGGTGTTATTCACAATAAATCCTATTTCATTATCGTTTAGAAAAACTCCTTGAGCAAGCGTTGGTGCAGAAGCACGTCGGCTTTGTGTAAGATCTTCGGCAGGTGATTCAATACTGAAACTACTTCTTTCTTCTGGAATCATATCGAAAACTCTCTTGAAGTGAACAGAATTAGAACGTGACCGTGGTTCGCAGTGAGGCACAGAAGCACGCCGAGTAGGCTGTGAATGCATTAAACTAGTAGGCGATGAACCAATGCAAGGCGACTCTTGATCCGTACACATAACCTGTGATACATTCGTAGAATACGCACTCGGCGTCTTATTCCTGTTATCAAATAACTGAGCGCGTGTACAAGGTCCATCTTTGTAATATTGTGAACCTATTCTTTCAGATACTGGAATGGGTATGCGAGATTTCTTATGTTTTGCAATTTGATTATCGTCAAAATGACTATACTCGGATGAACTCCCTGAACTGTTAACGTATTCCAATATTTCAAGGATTTCAATACATTTTTTACCGTCGTGTATTTCCGATTTTTGATATAATCTCTTAGAATTGTTATCGTCTGGTGTTAAAGGTGCATAAGTTTGAAGTGAAAGTTTACCCCGTATCTGATACTTTTCAGCCTTTCGGTGCTTTTTATTCATACCTTCCGAACACGACTGACTTGTGTTATTTTTAGTTAATTTATTATGATTATTATTGAGTTCAATATCTTTTTTCCAGCTCTCTTTAGACAGCGATTCATCAGATTTTGCAGTTACCATCATAAGAGATTTTTGTTTAATTCGCATATATTTGTACTCATCTTGAGCTATTTTATATATAACGTCGTCTATGATCGCATTCATAAGAGCTACACATTCTTTCTCTATCTCCTTCTTAGATTTTTGTAATTCACTTTGTCTTTGTTTCTCCAATTCTTTACGTAGTTGTTTTACTTTACTACGGCGAGCACACTCCATACGCAATTCTCTTTTCCTGTGTCTTCTATATAATCTTTGTTTTATAGTTTCTGGCATGTGGTCTGCTACTACAATACTCTTCTTTTCACGGTCACATTCGCAACTATCATCCTTAATTCTAACAAAAAAAGATTCACTTTTCTCCTTTAATTTTGCATTTTTGGTTTGATAAGAATTTTCAGGCAACAAATCTAGGACATCTATAGAAGATCTAACTAATTCATTTCTTTTACTACTGTTAGCGGACTTTCGGAGCATAATAGACCTAGGCGAGTTTGGATCATCCAAACTATCCACAAGACTCGTACACTCAGAGCCCATCACTTCAGCATCATCAGAAGAGGATGTATTCACTTCCATCGACTCCGTGTGCGGAAAAGCCGAATAACGAGGTATGGTCGCATTATCTATTGAATTCTCATAATAATTACACGTACTAACGCTGCCAATTAATTCCGTATCCTCCGTATTCATTTGTTCCTGTTTTACTGCTCCGTTTGTGGAGGAAGCATATGAGCCAGCATGATTGTCTATATAAACGTCCACGTTAGATATTTCTATGTGAGATATGCTTGGGATACTGTCGTTAGAATATTGCGTATCGGGTTTATTGCTTTGAAGATCTTCCTGAAACAGTTTTTGTATCTGTTGAAGAACCGCTTTGTTGACATTATCGGAGTGAACAACTTTTGTGAAACACTCTGTCTGTTGAAGATCTGATGAGTCTTGTCTTGGTATACTTTCTGCAGACGTCAAATTGTTGTTAGTCTCAACGCTGTGTAACTCGTCTCGAATCGCAGGCGAAGTTGAACTGTTGCCAACATTTTTACAACTATCCAGACGTTCGTCACTGCTGCACAACTCCTCATGCCCAAATATTATTTGATTATTGGACGTTGGACTTAAGTGCACAATAGTGTTAACGCCAGTGTTCTGTAACTTAACTTTTATCTCTTTTTCAATGACACTTAATCTTCTATTAGCACCCATTGACGCGTTCATTGACTCAAGTTGGTCAGACAAAGAATTTAAACTTTCTACTAGTATGTTCGAAACATATTCATCAATATCCGTACTCCTAACATCCTGAATTCTTTTCTTCTGCTCCGATGGACTTTTCGCTTTATTGTTTTTGTCCAGTTTATACTTTTCGGAAAAGCTATCATTAGATATTGGAGTATGAATTGTGTTAAACGTTTCAGATACTACAATTTCGAGGACATCGTAAGACGGTGTTTCAACCGTTAGCGGTTTATCATACGGGAAAATGTTACCATCTTCATTATCGGCACTTGATGTTATCTCACTAATTCTTCCATCTATACTGTCAGGTTTTACAGGTTGACCAGCCACGTTTGGCACCAAACGAGGAACGGTCTCTTTGGTAGTACACAATGACGTCGAACAAGTTTCTGAGGAGTAGGAGTAATCGTCAACCTCGCCACAGCAGGGATTGCTGTCAGTCCCTATAATTGTAGTTGAATCTCTAGAACCTTGTGTGTATGTATCAGTCGCGTCTTTATAGTCGGAGTCTGAGGTTGAACTAGGACCTAGGGCGTCCGTATCAGTGTATAAAGAAACACCAAGCGTGTGAACACGGCTCGAAGAATCAGAAAGGGCGAAATCTGTAGAGATTGGCGACAATGCCACTCGGGAGGTGCGAAGAGAGGGAGAGTCTATTCGTAGGCGTTTGGGTGAATTTCGTCCCGAAACCGGTGAGCGTCGAGCGGAAGCTAGACGCAACTCGGTGTGGGAGGCGTCCAGGGAGCGCGTGGCACGACCGCAGCATCCGGCACAGCACTCACGGCATGCGCGCCCCTGCAACCGCCGCAGCAGTGCCGAGCGCCGCATGAGCTCGCGGTCGCGAGGTAAGCGAGTTGCCATCTCGGGCAGCGTGCAACACGAGCATGACTCCACTGAAGCTTGAATCGTCTCCTCGCTACTCATCTGGGCCAGACGGTACCTGTAAGTAATAAATAAAATAAGACTGCAAAATTTGTTTTTCTTAACTATTTTTTTAATTACAACTAGTATCTATATGAACAGATATGCGCTAATACAATTAAAAAGTCTGCTCTCTGATCCGTTGGAATCAAAATCCGGGATAAAAATTTCACTGTATCTATTTTGGTTTTAACAAAATTTTAGTTGTTATCTTGAGATTGTGATATTGCTTAGTCCGCTCAAATTTCATAAGGTCAAATCATTAAACCAACTCCCAAAATCTGAAAAATAAATTCTACATAATTTAATAGGGTGTGAAGTTGATGCTATGATTTGTATACAGCGGACACATATTTTGCTAGTACTTGCAGCTTGTACTTGAACGTTCTTTTTTTCGTTTAAATCAACGAAATCAGATCAGGACGTTGCATTGGGTTTTGAAAAACATTTTACAGATATTCCGATCTAAACCACTAAGTCACAGAAATTATACAAACAATTTTATATTTTATAAGTATCATTCAAAGATATTGCAAAATATTTTAAAACCGTTGAATATAAAAACAGCAGATCTGTGGGGGATTTCCACTAAAGTTACTGCGTCTATAATAGATAAAATCGCACCTCAACCATTTATTATTTTTAATAATAGTATCGAATGAGGCGTGTTTCCTGATTTAATGAAGCATAGTAAAATAATACCTCTATTTAAATCTGGTAGTACATTGGACCCCGACAATTTTAGACCTATTTCTATACTGCCAACACTTAGTGAAATTTTTGAAACAAATGTTCTTGATCAAATGTTAATTTTTTACTGTAAATAATATACTACATAAAAATCAATTCGGTTTTACAAGGCGTCGCTCGACAACTGATGCTGGTGTTGAGCTGATTAAATATGTTTTCAATGCATGGTAGAATTTACAGGATGCTTTGGGTATATTCTGTGACCTATACAAAGCCTTCGATTGTGTTCACCATGTAAAATTAATCAGGAAACTACGGTGCAAGAAGTGTTGCCCTTAGATTAATTATTTCATATTTATGTAACAGAACTCAAAAAGTTGTCATCAATAGTACGATTTATTCCGGCGCGAGAGTACAAATGGGCGTGCCTTAAGGGCTCAATTCTCGGCTCCTTTTTGTTTCTTGTATATATTAATGACTTACCTTGCATAGTAAAGTCTAACCGTGATATAGTATTATTTGCTGATGACACTTAAATATAAATTATGACGAAGTAAATATGCTATATCTTACTTAGTAAATTGGTTTATGTTTAGACTAGATTTTTGTTGCTAACAAAGGCTGGTATTTCTGGCGGTAAGAATGATGATATTGAAAGAAAAAAGGCAGTCTTTAGACGTCTAAATAAGAGAGTAGAAGAAGTAGTTGAAAGTAAAAAGCAAGGAAGAACGGATAAGAATGATAGAAGAATATCGGATAACCGCCAGGCAAATATTAAAATGTTCTGGAAACTGGTAAGAACTGCCAGGGGGCATTCAAAACAGCCTATTATGAATGCTATAAGAGACGAGAATGGCTATATTCTGAATGATAAAGTTTTGAGTTTAAAGAGATGGAAGGAATATTTTGAAAGAGTATGAGTGACGATGTATGAACTAAATGAAATAGAAATTCCGAAAGAAGAGGAAGGAGTTAGGGAGATAAGTATATATGAAATAATGAAAGCAATGAAAAGCATGAAAGCAGGTAAGTCAGCCGGATATGATAGAGTTTCACTCGAAACGCTAAGGGCTGGAGACAAGTGGTGGCAGGCCTGCTGTACACCTTGTTTAATTTATGCTGGGAACTGAAGCGGGTACCGGTAGATTGGTGCAAAGCTGTGTGTGCTATATATAAAGGAAAAGGGTCGCAGCAGGACTGTAAAAACTACTGTGGTATCAGCCTTCTTAGCATTGTGGGAAAACTGTATGCTAAGGTACTAATTGAAAAGGTCATGAAAGAAACTGATGAAAAAATTTGAGATGTGAAAACGGGATTTAGAAAAAACAAAAAAGTTTTTTGTGCGTACATGGACCTGGAAAAGGCTTATGACAGAGTGGACAGAAATGTGTTATGGCAAACACTGAACTCATTTGGGTTGAGCGCTGGGTTGATACAGGCATTAAAGTATCTTTATACGGACTCTAGTGCTTATGTTAGGATCAACGGGTTCTACTTGGACTTGGTTTGACATCCATAAAGGTATCAGACAGGGCTGTGTGGCTTCTCCGTGGCTGTTCAACCTATATATGAACAGTTGTTTGGAAAATTTGAAAGTTGAAGAATGCGGATTAAGAATGGGTGAGTTAACCTTCAAATGCCTTTTGTACGCCGATGATCAAGTTATTTTTGCGTCATCGGCGGTCCGCCGAGTTGCAAATGATGGTTACATTAATAAGCAGATCATTAAAAGAAAGGGGTATGAAAGTGAACGCAAGTAGGACGAAAGTTCCGGTTTTTGAAAGAGAAGAAAGTAAAACGATATGTGAAATAAGATTAATAGGGGAGTTAATAGAGCAAGTAGATAATAGAGTAAATGGGCCCTACACTCTATTGTATTGTAAAAGCCAGAATGTGTCAAAAAAGGCACGTATGGCAATTCACAAAACTGTGTTGATCCCTACTTTAACGTATGGTAGTGAAAGTTGGGTGTGGCAGAAGAAGCACGAGAGTAGAATAAATGCGGTAGAAATGCGGTCGTTAAGGAACATGTTAGTTGTGAATCTGAGTGACAGGGTGAGAAATTGTATGTTAAGAGAAGAGTGTGGTTTGCAAGAAGATGTTGTAACCAGGATTAAGAAAGGAATGCTTCGGTGGTTTGGTCATGTGGAAAGAATGAATAAAAAAAGAGTTACAAAGGAAATTTATGTAGCAGAAGTATTTATTTATTTATGTTCAGATATATTGAAAATGGGCCAAATTCGGAGTAACTTTTATCGAACAGCACGTATGCGTAGGTATATGGATGTAAAGGAGGCGAGAGAGGTGTATCAGGATCGTGCCAAATGGAAGTCTGTAGTCTCTGTCTACCCCTCTGTGTGACAGGCGTGAGTGTTTATGTTACGTATTATTTAATGATAATAATTTGCACTCCTTCCAAGCGTTGGAACAGCTAGACTAGTTTTTTATGAGGACACGCGACTGACACTGAAATTATTTTTTTTACATAAGAGTACCATTACTGTATTCTACGATTTAAACCCAAAGAGGCGCTCAGAGAAAACCTTAAAGAAATTAAAATATTAACTTTACTATAATACCATATAATACCGTATTAAGGAATTTATAAATGATAATAACAATTTATGTGTTGTTAATTGTAACATACGTGATTGTGAGCTGTTTTTTTTTTACGTGGTAGAGCCATGCTGCAATTATATTAGTAGTATAGTTGTAGCACGAATGGGTCGGCTCGACCGGGGAAGGACCACGCTCTCACAGAATACCAGCGTGAAATAGCAGCTTAATGCTGCTGTATTTCGTATGGTGAGTGTAGAGAACCGGAGACCCTTTTTACTGGAAATGAGGCATTCCATCTCAGTCCTCACGGGTGACAACGCATCTGCATTTTGATTTGTAATGGAAGATAGATGTAGATGTCTATGGGCCGCAGCAACCACTTACCATCAGATGGACTGTGTGCTCGTTTGTCACCCTATCCTATAAAAAAAAACTCTCGCTGGGTTTCTTGCTTGTTATTCCCAGGTCAGAAGTTTTTTCCAAACCAGTGGTAAATTAAAAAAAAATATTTTTATAAAATATTATTTATAATGTATATTGAACAAAAAGTTTCTGTTGTCTACTAAAGCAACCTTTTTTGTAAAATAAATATATAAAATATAAGGGAGACACGAACACACAGTTCACTAGATGGTAAGTGGATAATATGGTCCATGCCGTTAAAGTTACTGCCAAAACACGTTCCACTACTGAGCACAAGCCTCCTTTCATTTGTGAAAGGATTTTAGGGCTAGGAAATGTTCGCCTCGCACAATCTCTGCAACAATGCATGTCAGTGAACTTCACATGTGTCGAAATATTTTTTTTTATTTCTTAGACATGCAGGTTTCCTCACGATGTTTATCTTCACTGCCGAATGCGTGGTAAATCAGCACTTAAAATTACAACTAACAATTTTATTGGTGCCGGCGATATATATATATATATATATATATATATTTTTTTATAGTTTGTACAACCTACTAAAGTTCAGTGCTGAACATAGGCCGTCCCCATAAACTGACTCATAGGGGGGATATTTGCCATAGTTGCCACGCGTGGCAAGCGGATTAGCTAACGCAGTTTTTTTTATTTATAATCGTTATTATCAAAATCTATCTACTGGTTTGTTACTCTCTGACGCTTTTTACGATACCCACGTGATTATATAGGATAGTAGATACTCTTACACCGCCAGAACACGGTAACAAAAAAGGTAAAGGTAAAGAAAAAAGTGTCTCCGGTTTTCTACCCTTATGATACGAAACACTGGTATTTCACACTGATATCATGTGAGTGCATGGTCCTACCCCGACAGAGCCGACCCATTCATGCTATACTCATGCAGCTACAGCATGGCTCGACCACATTGAAAACCGAAATAGACGTAACTAATTCCATTTAGAATTTTTTCCTAATAATTTTTTTGTGCATTAGCAAGTAGCACATCGTAGTTCTTTACGCCAAAAACATAAAATAAACCGTCAAAAATGATATGGCACAAACGCACTTGCGCATCACGGTCTCTGGCACCGAGTAGCGTCGCCGCAGCAGGCCGGGCGAGGCCCCCGGCCGCGGCGTCAGCGCCGGGGACTCTGCTGCCCTACGCCGCCACATCGCACTGCTGCTTCTTCCCGACTCCTTTCCTTGATCACAGTCGCAAGCTATCTTTTCCCTGAAATACGAATATTATGCGAATTATTCATTAAGATATGTCATACAATTTTAGTCAAATGTTAGTGAAATGTTGGTATAAAACAAAATCGATTTTTGCGTCTATCTGTGTATTTGGCAAAAAGTTTTAGTTAGATTTAAACTTTAAAATCACTTGATGGTATGATTTCTTATATTTACGCGAAATCTACACGTGAAATAAAACAAATTAAATATAAACACGATAAAATATCAAACGATATAATAGTTTTAAAGTTGAAATTAAACGCGATAAAATCCGTATAATTAGTTTTATTATGCCTAGGCTGCACTAAAAGTATCGGGAATGGAATATTTCCACTGTTCCTGTCATATTAAAATCTTTTTAATTGAAAACTCCTCGGTTCTAAAATCGAATACCATTTATTTATTTAAAAAAAAGATTCTCGGTCTTGTCACAAGGTTTTGTCAAACTTGTTTAGTCGTTGAGAAAATGGAATTGACTCAAGAAAATTCAAGAGCGATGATTTATTATGAATTTCGAAGTGGTTTAACACAAAAACAGTGTGTTGACTGGATGATTTCTGCATTTGGTGATGAAGCCCCATCCAAAACCACAATTTATCGCTGGTTTGCTGAATTTCAACGTGGACGTGTCAAGCTCAGTGATGATCCCCGTCAAGGTCGTCCAAAAACTCAGTCACCTAATAAAACGTTGATGCTGTGCGTAAGCTGTGTGTAAGACATACCGTGAAATTCAGGCAACTTTAGACATTGGCATGAGTCAAATACAAATAATCTTGCATGAACAATTAGGTGTAAAAAAGTTGTTTTCCCGATGGATACCGCATTCGCTCTGTGAGGAGGAAAAACGGCTCGCGTTACTTGGTGCATCAGAACTCTCGAAAGATTCCACGCAGGATCCTCAAATGCTGTTGTAGCGGCGCTGTCGTCGCACCAGGCAGAACACCTTGCCCGGCGGGAGATCTCCCCTTTTCCTACTTCGGCCATAGTGGTGACCCCGACGTGATCTGAACACGCAACCAAACAACATTCGGAAACTTCAAGCTTCATCATTGTCATAGAATATCCCACTCATTCGCTCCCGAGCAGATGTCGTCTGCAGTCTTCATATCCTGCAAGTCATCTAGCTTCACAAGGTTCATCGCAGCACTGGAATAATAATGCTTCCTGTTCCTTCAAGCTACACTCTGCGCTACAGTGTTCGGCACGGCTCTGAGACTTACTGCTCGCCTCTGCTTCACGGCACTCTCGCAGATTACTTGCCTTCTTCTCGACTCACCGCAGACTACAAGGCAATCTCCTGGCACTTTCACATTCGTTGGCAACGAAGCTGCACTATCCTCCTCCCGACCTCCGGTCTGAGCAGGGGGGTGATGTAGCGGCGCTGTCGTCGCGCCACCAGCACACCGAAACACACCGAAGCCTAAATCGCGCTATTAACTTTCCGAATCATAGACAGTACATATAGAACTTCTCCGAACTATCACACGGAGTGTTGGCCGCTCCCCGGGCAGAACACCTTGCCCGACGGGAGATCTCCCCTTTTCCTACTTCGGCCATACTGTATACAACATCGTATCAGGTGACGAATCCTGGATACGCACGTACGAACCCGAAACAAAAAACCAGTCACGAGTTTGGGTGTTCGAAAGTGAGTTGAAGCCAACAAAAATTGTTCGTTCACGGAGTGTTGCAAAAAAATGGTGGCCACGTTTGTCTCCAAAACCGGCCATATTACGATTATTCCTCTCGAGGGACAAAGAACGGTTAATGCGGAATGGTATTCTAGCATTTAATAAAAAATAAAAATATAAATTTCTTCGCAACCTTCCGCTAAATAAAAAGGCTAGCACGGCCGAACAGGCAAGACTTTATGTTAAATTAACAAAACTACATCGTATTACTGCTCAAAATGTTTGGTTTAATCAGCAGTGCAAACAACTTCATGTTATTCCCAATTATATCCAAATACGTTCTGGCACACATAGTCGAGCGGCCAGTGTTGCCATTTCCATCTTCTTCATCCCGTAAAAGTAATAACGACATACATACTGTGAATATCACCAATTTTATCGCCGTGTTAAAAATCTTTCCGATGTCCAGTTTCCAACGGATGAGTTGTCCCTTTTACAAAAAGGCCTAAAGTATAATTTAACACCTTCGGTCTCCCAAAGATCGTTAGAGACTGTGGCCGTTGACGCGGAGGTGGCTGTTCTGATTGGGAGGAAAGATAACATCGTTAAAAGTTTGTCAGCTAAAGAAATTCAGGATGTGCCCGCATCTTCCCATTGCAATCCTGTTTTTATTTAGCGGAAGGTGGCGAAGAAATTTATATTTTTATTTTTTATTATAATGGATTTCCGCAAAGTAACGCCTGATTCTATCAATTATGCTAACATTTGTTTGCCACAGGTCGTTTCTGAACTACGTAAAGAGAACTGCAACCGCCGCATCATCCTCCATCACGACAATGCGAGTTCTCACACCGCACACAGAACAAAAGAGTTTTTAGAGCAAGAAAACATAGAATTATTAGACCATCCGCCGTACAGCCCCGACCTAAGCCCTAATGATTTCTATACTTTCCCTAAAATAAAGAATAAATTGCGTGGACGGAGATTTTCATCACCTGAAGAAGCTGTGGACGCCTACAAAACGGCCATTTTGGAGACCTCAACTTCCGAATGGAATGGTTGCTTCAATGATTGGTTCCATCGTATGGAAAAATGTGTCAAATTTCACGGAGAATACTTCGAAAAGCAATAAATACATTTTTAAATAGTAATGTTGTGTCACTTCCTTGATTCCCGAAATTTTCAGTGCCGCCCTCGTACTCGATGGAATTTCATACAATTTTACAACAATTTTAAACGAATTTCTTAAGGAAGGCTCTCTTTTGTTAAACGTACATATTTTATATTAAAATAGTAGAGAAGTATTAGTATTTATTGATCAAGTCATAAAACCACACCATACTGATTAATTCCATCCGTGTCAAGCCTGGGTGAGTTACTAGTACCTCTTATATTTTCTAAATTTTCAGTGCTGCAGCCCTGGTTTTAATCAATGAAAAGTGTTTAGTGAAAGCTTGTATAAATATTTACGCCGTGTTCGAAATACTTAAAGCTTAATATTTCGAAATTAAAAAATCAACTGCTAATAGTGCTTTATTTAACCACGTTTTATTCAAAAAAAAGACCCTTTTTGGAAGTTTATCATTTTTTTCGCGTCAAATAAATAATTTTATTTATTGTGAAGTTGGTTGCGTAATTACATAAAAAGAGTAAATAAAAAGAGTTAAAACTATAAATTACTAAAAATCATTATTTCTTAGCTCGAAATTGCTGCTTTATTACCGACTTGAAAAAAGCAGGAGGTTCTCAAATCGGCTAGATGTATTTTTTATGTATGTTCAAGCATCACTTTTTATACATGGTGGAGCCATTCTACAGCTTTGTTATGGCTCGGCTCGACCGGAGGAAGACCACGTTGTCGCAGCAACCAGCGTAGAATAACAGCAGCTGCTCTCTCTCTGCACTCACCACAACAAACGTGTTGTGGTGAGTGCGGAGAACCGGAGACCCTTCTTACTGGACATGAGGCATTCCATCTTAGTTCTCAGGGATGACAATGCATCTGCATAGAGTCTCTAATTTTAGGACAGATGTAGATGTCTATGGGCTATAGCATCCACAAAACATCGGGTGGACTATTTATTCGTTTTTCACCCTTATTCATTAAAAATAATGAGTTATACGAGCACATGGTTATTAGTCCTGTATAAATTTAAATAAAAGATTAGGGATGCAATATTTTGTAGTAATTTATACAGGGTCAACAATGACAGAGAAAAAAATAGGGGTTGAAATTTTTTATGAAATTAATATGATGGCATTCTTGTTATTACTTTAAACTTGTCACATGCCTTACGGTTTATTTCAAATGGTGGAAAATTAAACTCAAAGCTAAGACAATAATTAAAACTACAATCACTTTTAGTTAAAGAAGTCAATATAATTTTTTTTTCGAACGAATATACTTCCAAATGTTTGAATATTTAAGTCCAAAACTCTTGAAGTTATGTTACTGTGGCTTTTGAACTGAACGATATTATAATATAGTTATTGGGCTTATGAACTGAACGATATTATAATATAGTTATTGGGCTTATGAACTGAACGATATTATAATATAGTTATTGGGCTTATGAACTGAACGATATTATAATATAGTTATTGGGCTTATGAACTGAACGATATTATAATATATAAATAGGTGCTGACCTCTAGTGGCCGTCCTGCAATGTATTACAAAGAGCACGAAAGGCACTAGTGAGACCTAATACTAATACTAATACTTTTACGCTAACCAGCTGTTGAGCATGGCGGTGTAAGACTATCCACTATTCCATATCATCCCGGAGGTGACAGGAGACGGGCGGCAGCGTTTTCCTGAAATCTGCGGTTGCTAACTCGCTCGCCGGGCGTGACAACTGAGGCAAAAATCTACCCTATGAATGGGTCTTAGGGGGAGGCCTGCGTTCTGCAGTGGAGTTTAACAGGCTGTGAAACCAGATGTCGCTTTTTAGGACTGAGGTGAACTTATTTGTTAGGAAGCTGGTCACACAGTGTCATTATCATTGAAAAGTTGCGTTTGAAAAAGCTTTTCGGTTTTTGGTGTACATATATACACAAAACAATGCCGTAGCATAGTGTACCTTTAATTTTTTACATTTTTCAACTTTTCTTTAATTCTCCTTCTTTTGGAATTTGGTTCCTGCATTTCTAATCCGATAAATACAAAACGTAACTAATATTGCAAGAAGAAACATTAATTTTTACACCTTTCAAACAATTGTAACTTTCCCGTTAACCTACCGTGGTTGGACTGTTTGCATATTATTAACTCTTTCTTGAATATTTATAGTTAGGTTTATCCATTTCAATCTAAATAATTAAAAATATAAGTAATATTTCAGAAAAAAGAAACATCAAAGAC